TGCTTGGCTCGGGAGAACGCCGTGAACAACGTGAAGCCACAGCGACGAATGTCGCGGTAGTTAGAGATGCCGATGAAGATGTCGTGGTCTTTGGAGATGCGTGGAGGTGGCGGGCGGAGATGCGCGTCGCGAGCGGCCAGTGGGATGTTCTGGTGAACAGGGTCCAGGTATGCCCAAGGCACGGTCTTGTTCCAATTTTGGTGGATGCGCTGTAATTTGTCTTTGTCTGGCATGTGGCACTAGCGGCGGCGTGCAATTTTATAAATGCTCGCAATTCGACCCGACCCAAATGGCTAATACTTGAAAGTATTTACTTTTAGATATGTTTCATATGGTGGTGAACGGCAGTCTGTCAATCGTCCTATATCGCAAATCGAGGTCTCCTGCGCACGCGGTCGGCTCATGCGACGCCCACCGTGGAAAATTTCTTTGCTTATGTTTCTCAAGGCGTAATGGACTGACCATACATACACCTTCAGAATCCACAGCTCATTTCACGGTCTTGGGTTCAAGTGGGCCACCAGCAGCGCTTCCAACTTGTCCTGCACGTGCACCAGGTGGTCCGTATGCGACGTCACGACGTCCTTGTCAGCAAAGCGTTGCTGGATTATGGGGCCACGACGTCCCTTGGTTCACGATTCTGTCGCGCGGTGGCGCGTTGTCGCGCATGACCCAACGATGATGTCACATTGGTCCTAGAACAAGATGGACTGCGGCATACGGAGTCTAATTCCTCGAGTGATTGGGGGGCATAATTATGCCTTATTTCTTTTAATTGCTGGTTTAATTTTATTAATAGCCTTAACCCTATATGACGGGGAGTCCAACGCAAGTCAAGTATACATAAGAATAGACTTTGATTATTCGACCAGGTGAGGAATTCAATCACCCAGAACTTCAAGTTTAGAGGTACTGTACATTATTACTGTGATCAGAAATGGCGTATTTTTACATAAGTTGAAATACGTAGGAATTATATAGGAGAATTGGATTAATAGTAGGAACATTTCTCCTACGAATTCAGTTTGTCCATTACAATTTGTTAGTCAGGAATAAAATTATGCTGGTATTTGTATTGAAATATTTTATATTTTGATTTGTGCTGAAAAAAAAAACACGAAATCGTAGGGGCGCTGCTCCTACGAAATCATGAGCCAATCATATTCCCTAAAAATGAAATATCGTCATCCAATAGAAAGTAAAGTGACACCCATTCAGCAACATGAGCAGCACCAACAGTACTTTCACCATCGAAGGAGCGCGGCGCAACCGCATATCAGCAAGCACGCGCCTCGGTTACAAGTCCGGGATACGGCAAGTTGTCCTTTGGGCTCT